CTCATAATATCATTTCCAGAGTATTAATCTATATTTGCCGGTGATTTACAAAATATATCAGCATATCTCTCCTTGCTTTTTATGAACTTACCATCTAAGAGAGACAACATAAATGCAACAGTTTATTAATATACATTATATATAACATATCTAAAATATATGTTTGGAAAATATGTTAAGTTCCCTGTGTACAGAGATGATTTCATAGGCTTTAAGAATGGCATGGGATTCTCACTAAAATTACAGTGTAGGTGGTTTAGAGAATAGTGTTGGAGAAGAGCAAATTCATATGAGAAGCTTGAGAAAAAACGTATTTTCAGAAGCAACTAAATGTAGGTTTTGAGAAAGCATGCCTAAAGCAAGCATAAGGCTGAATAGTACATAGATAAACCTCTGAGAATTTTATTAGGCTTATAAAGACTCACAGCAGTATTAAACAGATCATGCCTCTCACTGCATCTTAACACTATAAGGATGAAGTAATGCTTTGGGGTTTACATATAATAGATGTCCTTTTAATCAATATTTTTTATCTAAACATTCTCACAAAGAAATTATAGCCTTACAGGCACCACCACCCCCTCTTCACCAGTCATTTTTTTAAGGTGACAGGGAAAGGAGAGAGAGAGACAGATAGACAGGGGGGAGGACAGGAGGGAGAGGGGGAGAAAGGCAAAGAGGAGGAGATAATTGTGCAATCGGGTGAAAACGTCCACAGTGGAAATTCAGCAATTGTCCAAAACACATGGATCAGGGTCTTCAATACAAAATTTTCAGTTATAATTAAAACCAGGGGGACAGATTGATTGTTTTAGGAGCAAGCATAAGATGACAACAGAGAAAAGTGAAGATCTGAACCCAGTGGTACATGTGGACGATCACTGCCCTCCTCCACCTCACGTGTTTTCACATATATTCTGTGATTTGCTTAAAGAAAAACAAACACTCCGCTCTGCCTAAGAGGAATATTATTTCTATTGTACAAATGAGGCAACAGATGAGACAAAAATGTCTTACCTATATAGGCATCCCTCACTTTTATGGCGCAATTCATTTCTGGAAACCACAATAAAAAAATCATTAAGTGGACTGTGTGGAATTTATTAAACTTCCAATATTCCTAGTTGCTCACCTGTTTATTGTCATAAAGAAAATGCATTCTATTCCACTGTGAGCAATCATGAAGCAGCATTTTAGCCCCCAAGGCTGTGCCTGTGGGAAACAGCCTCTTTCACAATCCCCTGAAGTTGAGGCCAGGACTTCCAACAACTCTCCACATGGCTGGAAATGCCAAATTATCAGGCCTTAAAGAGAGAAATTCTGAATGAAAAGATAGTAACTCTCCTTATCTGAAAACAAACACACACACACACACACACACACACACATACACACAAAATAGATACACATACCTTGAAAAATAGGTGAGCATACATTCTCTGCCAAAACATGATCAACAAGAAGTTAATTAAGCATTTTAGCTGTCAAGGAGGAGTGCTCAGTTCAGGAAAATTTAGGATTATGTGTCTGTAAAAGGACCTAGCCCCTTACTGGTGTGGTTAAAGTGGAGAGTTGTTCTCTCCTCTGCTTCTTTTACTAATTGATTTCAGAGAGGAAGAGAGAGGGAGAGAGAGAGAGAAGTATCAATAGTGAGAGAGAATCATTGATTGGCTGCCTCCTGCATGTCCCACACTGTGGATCAAGCCCACAACCTGGGCATGTGCCCTGACTGGAAATCGAACCATGACTTTCCAGTTCATAGGTCGATGCTCAACCACTGAGCCATACAGGCCTGGCTCTTCTCTGCGTAAGGTGTGTACAAAACCTAGTAAAACCACCAGCACTACTGCTGTGTTAAATGACATGTAGACTTTTCTCCTGATTGTGCTTTTCATACCTCTTTGCTTTGAATGTGGTGATACAATATTTTGAATAGAGATATTCTAGACCAGTGGTTCTCAAAGTGTGGCCACTGGAACCAGCAACATCAGCATTACCAGGGAACTTGTTAGAAACATAATTCTAATCCAGACCTACTAAATCAGAAATTTGGGGGGTGGGGGAGGGGGCGGTGGGAGGTCAATTTGTTCTCACAAGTCCTCCAGGTGACTCTGATGCCCCGTGAAATTTGAAAGCCCTAATTCTAGAAGTCTTTAAATATGGACACAAGTCTGACCTTCATTTTTCTCCAAGTTGTCTGGAAGCAATGATTTAGTTAATCCTGGCTCAGGGTGCTCCTCATACTCATAAAACTAGAATGGCTGCGTAAGAACCTCGTCTTTTGATCTCTGCCTCTCTGCCATGCAAGGATAGGACATTCATGTGTTCCTGAAGGCAGGAGGAAGACACACCCAGTGCCAACTCTCAACCAACATATGTAAAAGTCTGTCTTCTCAGTGAAAGAAAGTCAAGGTCTCTCTCTCTCTCCAAAGGGGTAGCCTTTCTTGATAATCACAATACTTCCAACTTATAGTGGGTTATTCAACATAATTTTCAGTTTACAAGACCCCTCCAGATATATATAATTTAGCTGCCACAATAACCCTATGAGGCAGATTCTGTATTCCCCCTAACACAGCGGTTCTCAACCTGTGGGTCGCGACCCCTTTGGGGGTAGAACGACCCTTTCACAGGGGTCACCTAAGACCATCAGAAAACACATATATAATTACATGTTGTTTTTGTGATTAATCACTATGCTTTAATTATGTTCAATTTGTAACAATGAAAATACATCCTGCATATCAGATATTTACATTACAATTCATAACAGTAGCAAAATTACAGTTATGAAGTAGCAACGAAAATAATTTTATGGTTGGGGGTCACCACAACATGAGGAACTGTATTAAAGTGTCGCGGCATTAGGAAGGTTGAGAACCACTGCCCTAACAGTTTGCAAAGAAGGCAGCTGGAGCTCAGAGAACGCCCAGTAACCAGCTACCAGCCTAAGATCAGCCAGCCCGTGAAGGTACAGAGCCTCCACTGTTCACACCAAGCACAATACTCAAGCGGTCTACATGAAAGAAACAGCTCTGTGGTCATGGGTGAACTGTTGAACCTGCATGTGCCTCGTTTCCGCATCCATAAAACAGAAGTAAAAGTAGTGCCTACCTCACAGAGTTTATGTGAGGATTAAATAAGATAATCCACATAAGGCTCAAAAAAACCCAGTGCGTGGCATGTAGCACGTTTACAATAAATATTAACCATAATGTATTGGCTGTAATTACTGATCCGACGCCACCACCACTCCAGCTATTAACAACAATGCAGCCACTACTACTGCTCCAGGGAACTGGGCATTTTTAAACTTATTACAGTTTTCCTCTTCTCCTGCCTTCAAACTTCTTACACTGTCCAGACCATCCTATGTTGAGTGTTTATGCAATAGCTATGATCCCATCATTTATTGGGTTATGATAGAATTTATTAAAAAAAAACAAACCTTCATATTTTTGTGAGCAGCTATTCCAAACATCAGACACTTTTATTCCTAATGCAATTTAAAGATCAGCTCTTACAAAGATAAACAAAATAATTATGTCAAATGTACACAGCCTTCATCCCTGTGAGCTTCTTGAGATGCAAAGGAAAACAAAAGGCTTCAATAAGGCTGGCAAATCGGAAAGCTGGTTTCGGCTCCTTGCCTCTAAATTGATCAAAGATAGTCTGAATTTCCAGTTGTGTAAATGAAAAACAGAAACTCTTCTCTGAGCACATCCTTCCAGATATGTATGCCTGATTGCAGCCCTTTGAAGTCGACACAGCTGAAATCAGACTTTTTTGCATGAATTATGCACCACAGCAGAACAGAGAGACCACTCGGAATATGACTCATCATACAAAAGCAAGCTGGAAGCTGAAGGCACTTGCACTGTGCATCTTCTGGGAAGCCAGCATTCCTGAATTAGGTGAGAGGCCCATGGTGAGGGGCTACTTCAAATAGGAAAGGTGCAGCCACAAAGCCTACTCAGCTTATTACTTCAACAATGGCACAGACTCACTCATTTGTGTTTTGGTGGCTTTAACCCACCGACTTCCAAGTCCACGGACCTAATCCACCATAACTAACTATTTAAATCCAGCGAGCAAATGAGAAATTAACATTCATTTTCATTCATTTCAACCAAGTCAACATAAAACCAGCAAAAGATTCAAGTCTAAACTTAAAACTTCATTTAATTTTGTACCTAAAGCACAATGATTCAAGTTTAAATGTTATAATTTATTTCAGCATTTATATTCTCCAACTTTGAATTATACAAATCCAAACTGTTCGTATTTATTGGAATTCGAAGGCCTGCATAACAGAATTTTTGAGTGCCTTTGATAGTGTTTTTAAGGATTCTTCTAAACTTATTCAAAAATTCTATCTAAACATATTATTTTCTATAGGGAAATAACTTCTACACTGAAACTACTTCTAAATCAAATGTATTCATCTTAGTACTATATCAAACTCACCAGGACCCAAGATAATAGATTTCATACTTACGTATGAATGGCTTATTAGCTCAATAAGTAAATCCATATTTTGGGGAAACTACTGGTTTTTCAGCTTGGCCATGATTCCAATGTTATTCCTACTTAATTTATGTAACAGATTAAGCATTTATTTCTCTACGTTAAGTTCAAAAGCAATTTTTGTGAAGGATTATGAAGCAAAGCAGTGCAAGTTGGAGAGCTGTCTGAAATTGTAAAGGTCAGCTTCGAACTTAGAGCTAACGTTGAAGGGTCAGGAATTACTCAGAAATTATTTTATTCAGCCCTAACCAGTTTGGCTCAGTGGATGGAGCATCGGCCTGTGGACTCAAAGGTCCCAGGTTCAATTTCGGTCAAGGGCATGTATCTTGGTTGCGGGCACATCCCCAGTAGGTGGTGTGCAGGAGGCAGCTGATCAATGTTTCTCTCTCATCGATGTTTCTAACTCTCTATCCCTCTCCCTTCCTTTCTGTAAAAAATCAATAAAATATATTTTTTAAAAAGACTGACAAAAATTTTTTTTAAAAAAGAAATTATTTTATTCAACATTTACAACTAGAAACCCCAACCAGCTATAGTTGATCCCACTTGACCAGGAAACAAAAAAAAACTTCTGAGCAAAGGCAAAAAATAGTTGGTCAGTGGCAAAGCTGGCTCCCTGTTGATGGCTTGTAACTGCCCCTCTTTCAAACCTCAAGCTCTCAAGGGCAGGGCCCCCACTGTAGGCACCTCTCAGAGTGGAGCTCAGGGGCTCAGCTTCTGTTGAAGTGATGTTTCATTCCTACATACTTTTTGCTTCCTGTGAAACTGGCCTTCTAACTGCTTGCTTTTGGCTCATGATATATATGTGGTCCTTTTTCTTGACTGTCTTTTGCCATGGAATCCATACCCTCTGCAAGAATTCTATAATAGTACAGGCATATATGTGCCTGAACAACTCTGGCTTATCTGAGGGTTCCGACTTTTCCTTTTATTCTGACTTAGATAGATGTATATCTACTCTATTAAGAATGACTCTCCCCAGTGTTAGCTTCTCACCCTAATTTTACTGGCCCGCACCCAACATCACGCAGCTAAAGCTGTGTTTTTGAGTCAGGAGAGTATCTGTCTCTGAAAAAGCTCAGAGAGAGCAAAAGCTCAAAGGTGTTTCAGTTCCTTCAAGCTCATGCATCCTCCATCTTGCACTTGGCTGAGTTCCCAGGTATCAGTTCTCAAGGCACATGGGTGGCTTTGGACATGTACCTAAGCAAATATACAGGGTGGGACAAAAGTGGGTTTACAGTTGGAAGTACACAAAACACAGTTTATTCTTGTATTGTTATTTATTAATTATTGTATTATTTTCCATAGGAACTACTGGAAACCTACTTTTGCCCCACCCTGTCATCTTGAAGAGGCAAATAAAGAACAGGGGACTAGGAGTTAACATATCTGTAACTCAGCTACTAAGTTCACAACCATGTGTGATCCTGGTGACTCATTATCCCTCTAAGATCTGTTTTCTCAACTGTAAAGTTAAAGAGGTTTTGTAATCTCAAAGTTTTCTCCCAGCTATGAAATTCTATTACTCTTTTTTGCAAAGGTAATTATTAAATGAATTCCCAAGCTTAAGATATTACCTACTGTTACTTTCTCATGTCATCTTGCCTCTCTATTAGTATGGACAATTGAAACTCAATTATGTACTATAGGGCAAAAACACTGGGGAAGATTCTCATATAAACTTCTACTCTAACAGCATGTCTGAGTAAGCAATTCAATGTTCCTGTTGATTAAAGCACACTGAAATACACATCTATATTAATGTGTAAAGAAGCAGTGTAAAGAAACAGAACCCATTGGCTGAGTACCTGCTATGGGGCAGGGATTTAGTTAAGCACTTCACTGCAATTAACTCTAATCTTCATTATCTGAAAAGTTAATATGATCTCCATCTCCCAGGATCTAGGAGATTTTTTAACTTACCCAGAGTCACAGCTCCAGTAAGTGGTGGTAGTTGAATTCAAATGCAAGAGCTGTGCTTTGGGCTGGCCTGCTGGTGAGGAACTGAGCAAGCATGTAATATCTGTCTTGGGTAGAGGTCATCATAACACACAGCTGCCTATCACACAATATTCATGCAGTAAAACCTCCTATTGCATTTAACAGGTTTCATTTATACTGTACCCTTCTTGAAAGATGGGAGGAAACTGATTTCCCTAGGGATGGCTTCAAATTCTATAAGAAAAAAAATACATATACATATATATATACATACACACACATATATATAGAAAAGGTATATCTACTTCATACAGTTAAAAAAATCTGTTATAAATAAAAACAGGTTGATGACCCTATCACTTTGAATAAGTAAATAAAAATGGAATGAATAAAAATGAAGTTTAAAATAAATGAAAAATAAAGAAATCATTAATTTTAACTCAAGAGTTTTAAAACTGACTTCTAAAAATGAAGAGGAGTTAGTACTACCAGATAATGAGAGATATTATAAAGTTGCAATAATAAAATAGCCAAATGTGAAGGAAATTCGGTATATGACAGAAGTAGTATTTCAAATTAGAGAGGAAAATACATAGATCATTTAATAAATCATGTTAATGGGGGAAGAAGAGGATAACTACAATTGAAGTTCTCATGTCTGACACCAAAATTAATTCAAGATAAATCAAAAATTCAAACATAAAAAAAAAACCATAAAATACTAGGAGAGAGTTAACGTGTTTACAGGCCCTCTTGAAACTCCAGTAAAATCCCTATGAAGAATAAAGGAGGTAAACTTCCAAAAGGACAAAAGACAATGACAACAGATAAGAGGTGTCACCCAACATCTTGGAAGATGGAAAGCAGAAGAGGGGGTGGGAAAACTGATCTAGTCAAGAGGAGTCACCGAAACCCAACTGCCTTCCAGTGGTGGAAGTCGGAGAAGTTTGCCCCACGCTTCTTCGTGTACAAGAGCCACCTGGCGGTCCTGAGCGTGTTGACACTGGTTCAGCAGTCTGGGGCGAGGACTGCGATGAAGACTGCAATGAAGACTGCGGTGAACACTGAATGCTGCATTTCTAACAAGTTCCCTGGTGATGTGGGCAGAGCCTATGGGTCTCTGGGGACTGACCACATGGTGAGCAGTGAGGCTTTGGAGTAGACAATGCCACAAATGTTCATGAACTGTCAGCATCAGATACATGTGGAGGTTGGGGAGCAGAAAGGCTGGTCCAAAGTCTGTATAAGGAACAGGCAGACCTCCTGATTCGGTGCTAGAAGCCAGGTGACTGCTTGCCCCAGTGCCAGCAGAGGAAGGGGGTTTAACTCCCGAAGAGACCAAGTTACACAGGGTCTGACCTTTGGGACATTGAGTACAGTGACCAAAACATGGGACTAAGTCAGCCATTTTCAACCTTTTCATCTCATGGCAAACATAAATGAATTACTAAAATTCTGCGGCACACCAAATATTATATTATACTAGAGGCTCGGTGCACAAAATTCATGCACAGTAGGGTCCCTAGGCCTGGCCGGTGATCAGGACTGATCGGGGCCTTCCTTCCTTCTGCGTCGCCCCCTGGTGGTCAGCGCACATCATAGCAAGTGGGTCGAACTCCCGAGGGGACACTTTGCATATTAGCCTTTTATATATATATAGATATTTTGATGATCTGACAAAAAAAAAGTAGTTACAATTTTTATTCATTCAACCCAGACTGCTATTGTGTTAGCTGTTGTCATTTTTTAATTTGACAATCTAAAAGAAAAGAGGTCAGTGCCCTAACTAAATAGTCAAGTATGGCATGTTTTGAAGATTCTTGTGGCACACTGATTGAAAACCACTGGACTGAGTGAAAATCTGCAAACCAAATAGGACTTTGAGCTCCATTTAGCAGCTCAGCTCACAGCCATTAGGGAACTAAGAGGAGGGTTGCTGTCTATGGAACTGACTAGCTCAGGGAATGCCCTCTGGAAGGGAAAACTGTGATTACCTAAACCACATATAGATTAAAATCTTCATCCCAGAAAAAAAATCGTAATTAAAGTTAAAAGACAAATTAAAAAAACATAAATATTTACAATATACATGAAAAGTAGCCATGTAATAGCAACTGGTTGTTCAGTTGTTCTGCCATTCAGTCTATTTGCATATTAGGGTTTTATATAGAGAGACTAGAGGCCCAGTGCACAAAAATTCGTGCACTCGGGGGGGTCCCTCAGCCCAGAATGCCCCCTCTCACAGTCCAGAAGCCCTCAGGGGATGTCCTACTGACGGTCTGGCCTCCTTCTGTGGGAGGCAACCAGGCCAATCAGGGAAAGGCACTGTTCCCATCACCCCGCCGCTACTGCTGCCTCTGGCCTCCCTCTGCGGGACACGACCTGGCCGATCAGGGGAAGGCGCTGCCCCCATCACCCTGCTGCTGGTAGCATGTTTTAAAGATTCTTGTGGCACACTGGTTGAAAACCACTGGACTGAGTGAAAATCTGCAAACCAAATAGGACCTTGAGCTCCACTTAGCAGCTCAGCTCACAGCCATTAGGGAAGTAGGAGGAGGGTTGCTGTCTATGGAACTGACTAGCTCAGGAAATGCACTCTAGAAGGGAAAACTGTGAATCTTTAAAACACCCACACTGCAGGCCACTGTGGCTGCCGGCCCTTGGCCCTCTTAGTGCTGGCCCTACCCCTGCCCACTGGTGGGTGGGGGCAATCTGGGGCCAGGCCGGCTGGGAGAGGGGCTGTGGGAGGTTGAGGCACAGCAGGTCACACCCTATCAAGCCTCTGCAGAGGTGTGGTGCCAGGACCGGGCCCGTGCTGCTGCCTCTGTGGTTGCCTCTGCAGAAGGGGCAGCACTGGGACTAGGACCGCGCAGCCCCCTCTCCCACTGCCTCTGTGAAAGGGGCCGTGGCACTGGACTGGCCCACGTCACCGCCTCTGCTGCGCCACGGGCTCTTGCAGCAGCTGTGGCTTTGTCCGGAAGGACGTTCAGAAGATGTCCAGTCTAATTAGCATATTACTCTTTTATTAGTATAGACTAGAGGCCCTGTGCACAAAATTCGTGCGGGGGGGGAGGGGGGGTCCCTTCAGCTTGGCCTGTACTCTCTCCAATCCGGGACCCCTTGGGGGATGTCCGGCTGCCGGATCGAGCCTAAACCTGCAGTTGGACATACCTCTTGCAATCTGGGACTGCTGGCTCCTAACTGCTCACCTGCCTGCCTGCCTGATTGTCCCTAACTGCCTCTGCCTGCCAACCTGATCTCCCCTAACTGCTCCCCTCCCAGCCTGATTGCCCCTAACTGCCCGCCCCTGCTGGCTTGGTCACCCCTAACTACCCTCCCCTGCCAGCCTTATCGCCCCTAACTGCCCTCCCCTGACAGCCTGATTACCCCTAACTGCCTCTGCCTGCCAGCCTGATCTTCCCCTAACTGTTCCCCTGCCGGCGTGGTCAACCCTAACTACCCTCCTCTGCCAGCCTGATCACCCCTAACCACCTCTGCCTGCCAGCCTGATATCCCCTAACTGCTCCCCTCCCAGCCTGATTGCCCCTAACTGCCCTCCCCTGCCAGCCTAATTACCCCTAACTGCCCCTGCCTGCCGGCCTGATCTCCTCTAACTGCTCCCCTCCCAGCCTGATTGCCCCTAACTGCCCTCCCCTGCTGGCCTGGTCACCCCTAACTACCCTCCCCTGCTGGCCTGGTTTCCCCTAACTGCCCTCCCCTGCCGGCCTGATCGCCCCTAACTGCCTCTGCCTTGGCCCCTGCCACCATGGCTTTGTCCAGAAGGATGTCCAGATGGATCTCTGGAAGACACCCAGTCTAATTAGCATATTACCCTTTTATTAGTATAGATGAGATTAAAGACATATAACACTAGGTAATGTTTTTAAATGATCTTAAAAATGGAAGAAGTGGTTGCATAATTTTAAATGTTCAATCTGTTTCGAATACTAGTTGTTTTGTAGCATTATGAATCCTGTAGACATCAAAACATTTAAAAATACACAAGTTAAAATTAATACATTAGAAATTAGCAAATGGTAACTGCTGAGACAATACTACACCAAGAGATTTGTTGTATGTTGTGTTACTACTTTAAAAAAAACTGGGGTAAAAACTTCAGCAGTATCACTTAAAACCAGTGTGAAAACCCCATTATCTCTAGCATGCTTATTTGGAAAAATGTTGTTATACTTCATCCCCTATAGCTGTCATAAGAGCTCTGAAAAATCTGTACCTCAACTGTAGTGTCATGGCCATTTGGCAGTAATAGAAAACTGAAGATTTTACCAATGAAACATGGTATATTTAAAGAAAACCATTCTCTTCTGCTATGAGAGTCCAAAAACAATAGATTTTAACAGACTTATTTTAAGGTACCCTCTTTATAGAAATAAGTAGAAAGTAATGCAGTATTTTGGGCCTAAAAGGCATGGGTAGTAACCCACAAAACCTATGCAAAAAATTGCAAAATCAGAAGAAGCAGAAAGCTAATGAGAAAGTGTCATCCACAGGAACACAGGAAGGCTTCAAACAAATTGCAGGCTACATGATCACTTTTCAAAAAAATGTTAAAGACCCACAAAAAAAGTTAAAGATGTGATACTAGGGTTCCAAAAATTGACTATAAAACTGAAAAAAAAATTGTAAGCAGAGATGGCAATAAAATGAAAAGGAAAGTTTTTTTAAAAAAACAGATCAAAGCTACATGAAGAGGAACAGAATAAATATGAGTGAACAGGACACCTAGCAGGTAGGCTTGAGGAAAATTAATAAAATCACTTGGAAAAAATATATCAAAATGATTATAGAGATGGTCATGGGTGAGAAAGGGAGACTATAGAGTTCTAACATATGTATAATTGGTATTCCTGAGGAAGAGAACAAGATATATCTAAAGGTGGAACAGGAGAAAACTTGTATTACAGAAGAATTAAAAGATTAGATTACATTAGATGAAAAGGTACATGTTTTAAGGTGAGTATAATTATAAAAATATAAAGCACAGCAAGTCTTAAAAATATTATTTTCAAAACAAATAGAGCATTTCTATATCGCAAACAAAACTTAGCGTTCAAAATACATGGCTTTTTCAAATTCCAAGTGTATGACAGCTCTGATTCCCTCGTCTCAAACTGCAAATCTTCTCATTCTACATTCAAGGAACAGGATACGTAGCA